TCATTTTTTTGTAGGGGTGTGTTGCTCATTGGAGTCTCTATTGAAGACCCTCTGATTGTGAGATTCTGACATTTAACTTCACCGGGGTGTTTTAACACCTGAAGTTTTATTTGTAGAAGTACGATTGTTTATTTAGTTTTAAAGTTACAGTCAGAATGTCTCATGAGGAAGATTAGCATCTCCTGCCAAAGAATGCCTTTAGCATTGTAAAGCAGTGTGATTGAAATCCACAGCTTAATCTTCTATGAAACTTGTGTTTTTTGAGCAAAGTTCAACCAGTCAGCAAAGGACAGAAAACAAATTAGTTTATAAAACAAAAGAATTATCAGTGTAAGTAAGAGAAATGAGAAAACTTTCCCCAAAAAGAAAAATTTTGAGACTGTCTATCTCCTCTCAACTACATTTTTATTTTATTTTATTTTTTGAGTCAGAGTCTCACTCTGTCACCCAGGATGGTGTGCGGTGGCATGCTCATGGCCACCTCAGTCTCGACCTGCTGGTCTCAGGCGATCCTTCCACCTCAGCCTTCCAAGTAGCTGGAACTATAGACACCTACCACCATGCCCGACTAAATTTTTGATTTATTGTAGAAGTGACATCTTGCCATGTTGCCCAGGCTGGTCTCGAACCTGTGGCTCAGGCAGTCTTCTTGCCTCAGCCTTCCAAAGTGCTGGTATTACAGGCATGAGCCACCACCCCCGTCCAACTACATTTTTTTAAATAAGCAAGGACAATGTTTTAAAAATACCAATTATGGGATAGGATTATTAAAAATGCAAATAACCATTTTCTCTCTAACCCATTTATTATTGACTCGGTGGAGGTTGATGTTGGTCCCTTGAGTTCCCTTTGTCTAGGACTCACATTTCTTGAGCTTTCTCCCTTTAAATTATGCAGTCAGCTGGGTTTGGTGGCTCAGCCTTTAATTCCACGCTTTGGGAAGCTGAGGTGAGTGGATTGCCTGAGCCCGCAAGTTCAAGACCCACCTGGGCAGCTTGGCGAGACCTCATCTCTACAATAAAAGTCAACAATTAGCCGGGCGTGGTAGCGCGCTTGCCTGTAGTTCCAGCTACTTGGAAGGCTGAGGCGGAAGGATTGCCAGAGCCCAGCAGGTCGAGGCTGCGGTGGCCGGGAGTGGCCACTGCACTCCAGTCTGGGCAACAGAGTGAGACTCTGACTCAAAAAAAAAGAAAAGAAAAAAAAAAAATTTGCGGTCATTAATGTAATCACCCATAACGGAGCTTCTCTTTATTTGAGTTTTCCCTGTACTTTAAAGTGAATACCTGCATTAAATTAAAAAGAGTTTATTTTCCCAAACATCCAGTGTTATGAAAGTGCCTAATTTTCATAACATTAAGGTGAGACTTTGACAGACCATCAGGATTTAAAGTCCCAACACTAACAAAAAAGAATCTGAGGTACCAATATCCGTAGGCCTGCATGAATTTCTTTTCTATCTTATTTGTATCTCTCATTGCTTTCTAAAAATTTTGCAGTATGTTTCTTTTGACTTTTATTAGTTTGAGACAGAAAAAGGAAATGGAAAATCTTAATTCAGATAACATGGAAAATGAGTCCTGTACTATTGAGAAACTGTTATCATTTTCCCCCCTATATTTTAATTAAAACGTTGGGAAAAATATAGGAAGCTAGAGTGACTATACCATCAACAACACCAGTAGCAAGGCCTTGAGTTTCAGTTATTGGGTTAGTATAGCAGTAGTCTCAGACCATCTACATATATCATGATATATGTGAGAGGTCTTGGCAAGTGAGGGTCACTCTACAACTCTTACTCTGTGTGGTTATTATTCTCATAGGGAAACAGTTAAAAGTGGGGGTAATAAATATATCTGCACATTTTGCCTCATGTTGTATTTGTTTCATTTAGAGTTCAGGAGTGCGTTTTGATAAAGGAAGTCAGTGGAAGGGAGCTGTATTATAATTTTATGGCCCTGGTCAGGCACTTCACCCACTCTTTGGAGAAAGCAATTTTAAGGTGGAGGAATAGAACACTCTCCAGCCAGTTCATCTCTAATTTGCACATTCAGACATCATAGAGACCAATTATTTCTTTATTGCCTATGAATTATTAGTTTTACAGTGTTTAATGCAGAATACATCACAGATATTTTTAGCTATATTTTGCAACTTAGCTATAAATATTGTGTTTAAATCATAATTTGTTTGTTTCCCCCCTTATTCTTTCTACCAAAGTACTCCCTTTACCATTTGTCTGTAATTACCTTTATATAATATAATTATATATTCTATAATTACCTAACCTGTGTCTCCTCCTTCCACAGACAGTTTTCCCCTTGGATATTTGTCTTATATGGCTAGGAGCCCATTTTGTATGGCATATTGTATGGCACAGCACAGTCTTTTGGAGTAATTTTTTGGTTAATTTCTGGAGAGCTGAGGTATGAAGGATCTCTGTGTGAAGCTATTTACTCCTTTCCCAAAAGGAAAGACATTTACCGTAACAACAAATCTGAGCATCACTGTGCTTTTCACTGTTCTTTTCGTTTTTCACTGTTTCCATGCCAGGGACTGTGGGTCACCACCTCAAGGCCTTTTCCTGTGAGAGTATCATAGTGGGGAAATGGTTTGAGAGTATCATAAAGCTCACCTCCCTGACACATACAGGTTTAGTTTTGCCTGATGTTTTCCCAAAATGCCTCTTTGAAGAAGTGATCATGCCTTAGGGGGTACCTGGGAGCTAATGCTATCTACCTCTGGCATGTCCCTGTCGAGAACATCTTGGGTCCAGGCATATGGGTTCTAGAACAGCAGGGTGTCTGTTAAAATTTCTTTTGTTTATGCTCCTTTATAAGAAAACTATTTTGCTTTTGAATTCTGGTGGTGTTTTATGATATACATAAAGTGATTTGAACCAAAGAAATGAAATTGTCTTACAGTTCCTATATGCAGTTGGTTTTGCAATCTATAAATTTCTTGATGGCAGCAAAAATACCTTATATATCATTGTAGCACATGCCTGGAACATAGTAAGCATTCTAAACTTTTGTTGAAAGAATGAGAAATATAGTAAATAGGGGGAAAAACAAGGAATAAAGAAATAGCAGTGTTGATTTAAGGGTAGTCTAATCAGTGTTATAAAAAAGTATTAATCTCACTCATAGATCAATGAGTTTTCTAACTATAGCATAACCAGATATGAACTTGGGAGGAAATCACATAGAAAATATTTTCAGATGGTCAAGCGGGATAATCTGTGGCCCCATGGGACTGCCATTGGGTTTTGCTTCATATGCTCATACTTACATCTTCAGAAGTCATTAGATATTTATCATTCATTTTGACAGAAACAGCAAAATAAGGTTAAAGATCTCATCATTCGAACAAAGAGCTATGTTTAGTTTTTCCATGTGTACTGTACTTTTATGTATGTATGGCCTTTACATAGTTGTAATCATAATGTATTTTTTGTTTTGAACTTTTTCGACTAACATTATAGTTTTTAATGAAATCATTTTAGTTCTGCACACATGTTTTGGGATTATGAGATCTGGCATCTTGGTGTTTGTGTAGAAATTATGTCAACATAGTTTATAGGCCAAGGGCAAATAAAACAGATTTTCTTAGGGCAATGCATTAAATATCATCGGCTGATTGCTTTTTTCCAGCAGAGTACTTCTGGAAATCTGGTTTTATTTTGTGACTAAATAGAAGATAGTCTGTTGTACTGGTGAAAGTTTGGGGGCGGGATTCTTTTTTGTGTGTTTTTATTTTCTGAACATGTCATAACTGAAAGTTAGAAAAAAGTAAATAATTGGGCAGTTTGGAAGATCTTTGTTGTTGTTTTGTTCAGGGTCCTTTTATAGAGAATGAAAAAATTGCTAAGTGATATGTTTATGAAGTGACTCTGTCAGTGGAACTTGAAGTGCTTTTTTAGTTTAATGCTAAATCTCAGTTGGTTGTCTGAAAATGGGACTGTGTGCCTGAATTATGTTTTTGTACTGTCTCTAACTGTTCCCTGTGTGACTTTAGGTAAGACATCTAATCATAACTGTGCAAAGTAGGAATAAAAATATTTGATGCTGATTCTGATTATGATGATTAATTAGTTCATGATTGATAGGGCTATTGTGAATATGGGAGGAGACATTTAAAAATTGTGCTGGACTCTGTAGAACAGCTGTTTCAGTATGGGGTGAATGGTCACAAGAGCCCCATTCTTAGGAGCAAGCATCCGTGAAGAAGACAGAGGCCTGGGAGCTGACTGTTGATTAAGCATTTGGGGAGTGCATGTGGCTTCTGAGCATACTTAATTTACTTAGACTCAGCTGTACTCGAGCAGTCAGACTTGTGGAACAGGGAGTCCCAGTTCAAGACTGGGTGACTGATTCACCTGGCGTCTTTCCTACAATGTCTGTCCCTATGAATTGGTTCTTTTTAAATGGAGGCAAATCTTCAGTTGTTTTCAATAAGCAGCCTCTGTCATAACCCTGAATGCCAAGAGCAAAAAACTCCTGTTAGTTCACATGCCACAAATCAATTCTGAATAAGAAAATAGATTCTGTACTGTGTGTGTATGTGTATGTATGGTGGGTGGGGAGGGTGGAGAAATCATAAGCTCTTTCATTTCCCTAGTTGAGAAAGGATAGGGTATCTCTGTTTAAGATGGAATTGGAGTGGTACAAAGAGAGTGGTAACAAAAACGTTACACAGCACAAATTATTGTTCATCTTGTCAAGCAAAGTTAGACTCCATACTGATAGAACAAGCCAAGACCAAGCAAGCCCCTTGGAACTTGCCCAGTTTGAGAATATCTTATTTGTTATATTCATTTAATGGACAATTGAAAAACTAGTGGGTGGTTGTAAAATTACTGTTTTTAGTTTTTAGTGAGTGGGAGTTAAATGAAATGTTTTTCACTGGGGAAAATATAGCCCCACACTTTTAGCAGTTAGGCACTCCTGAATCGATGAGAATCATCGTTTTGTTAATTTCATCAACATGTTCATTTCTTTCAGCTCCATGTTCATGCATGTCTTTTAACCCGGAAACAAGAAGACTGTCCATAGGTCTAGACAATGGTACAATCTCAGTAAGTACACATAAATAAGATTTCCAGTTGAAATACTTCCCTTCCTGTGGAGTATGTATATGTATTGCAATGAGAATTATTTATTAGTTTTTTTTCAAATTAACAGAATCATTTTCTTGCTAAATAAGTGGAAATTACAGTGTAGCAGATTATGGTGAGGTAAGACATTCTATGTAGGGATAGCTATCATCAGTGTCCACTTAAATGCTGACAAGGGGGCATTAGGAGGCCAACAAGTACACTGCATGAGTCTGCATCAGTGAGAATGAGTTGTAATCCTAGTGGCGTTGATCAGATGGTTCATCTTGGTGTCTTAAGGTTCACCACATAAGCAACAGAACAGGACGAAAATGCCTTCTCTTATGTTTGCATGTCTGCTCTGATCTTTGCTACTCTGAGTTCTCCTTCCCCTTTTCCTTCTGTTTGTTGTCTTCTCAGCTCTCCTTAGCATCTGAATAGCACTCTGTAAATGGGTATGAATTTGTAAAAAAAGACAATCTATTTAGTTTGTAGGGTAGATTCTTTGATTATAGATCTTGAAGAAACTGAAGTGATTAGAGATTGAATTTTGGGTTTTATCTCCCTACTTAATCTTCTTAGTATTTAGTTTCAACTTGTATAGTAATATTAACTAGTAACAAGACTGAGGTGATCAGTGCTCCATTTGGTAAGTTACTCAGTATTGCTTGTAGTCTGTCCTGGGCAAGATGGGCCTTACTTTGGGACCTGTGAACTGGGAGGCCCTACTGCTCACACTTACAGAGTGAAGGGTCTCAGGGGCAAGGAGATGTGACCAGCTCAAGCCTTCACTCTTGTCCACTCCATTCTCTGCTTACCAGGACCCTGGAACCTCTTGCCCCCATACAGCTGAGAGCCTGCTTCCAGTGTCTGCATGAACCTTCTCCCTGGATCTGTCTTTAGGAGGATAAAACCAGGGATTGTGCCCTTAGGCCTGAGGGGTGGCGAAGGGGTAAACAGAGGTAGGAATAGGATGTCCACCCCCAAGTGCAAGGCTCCTCAAGGTATCGAGCTTGAAAGAACAGAAAGATCAAGGGATGGACTTGCCTTCCTGTGTTACCACATTGTGGTTTGGAATTTCATGGAGTCTAAGAATTCTAAATTTGAACCTGTACCTCAAGCTACTTGAAGGTGTATTTGTCAAGATTGGAGGATAAGACTATATTTTATTTAATAGCTTATCTTGACTTGTAACTTTTAAATATCTAAACATGGAGTGTGGACCTACATTTGTAATCTTGCCCCAGCCCCTGCAAATGGTAGTGGGCTAAAGTTTTCTATTTGATCCTTAGGCAAGACATTTGTTTGGTGACCTTTATGGGAATGCGGACAATATTGGTTGTGTGTGTGTGTTGGAGTCTCACTCTCTCACCCTGGCTGGAGTGCAGTGGCATGGTCATGGCTCACTGCAGCCTCAGTCTTCTGGGCTCAGGTGATCCTTCCTTTTCAGCCTCCTGAATAGCTGGGACTACAGGCAGGTGCCACTACACCCAGCTAATTTTTTAATTTTTAATTTTTTTTTTGTAGAGATGAGGTCTCACTACGTTGCCTAGGCTGGTCATGAATTCCTGAGCTCAAGCATCTCCCTCCTCACCTCCCTAAGTGCTGGGACTATAGGTGTGAGCCACTGCACCTTGCCTGGAATTTTAACTGTATTGTTAAATATAAATCGGCCTATTTTTGGAGTTCTCTAATATCCAGTGCATTTGATAGATCTGTAAACTGTTCCTTAGGTGGACAGAAGAGATGTGTATGATACTGACTTTTGTCTACTTTGAGGAGAGCCATTTTAAAAGGGAGGGTTATGTGAGATAAATTAATTTTTTAAAGATAACGGAAGATCATTGGATTATTCAATGAACTCCTGAAGTGTTCTTACAAAGGAAATCTGCAAAGATGAGCTGAGATCCCCATATTGCCCAACAGTTCATAGGACAGTGTGCATAACTCGAAGATGTAGGTTTATATAACATATGAGTCGTTTCCTGCACTTTGAATCAGTGTGGGTGGTTAATGGGAGCTGATAAATTTGGCATTGAAGGCAAGAAAGGTGAGTAAAGTAAGTTATGGAGAACTCTAGTTGTTTATTGTATGTAAGAGGAGAGGCCATCTTCGCCATTATTCCTTTAGTAAATGAAACTGCCAGAGAAGCAGAGCATCAATCAGGGACCAGAGCTCTGTCTCTTCTTTAAGTACGTCAGTGCAGTGTTGAGATATTCAACCTTATCTTCCTTCAATCTTCTGAAAAAGATTAAGGGCCTTGGCTTGTATGAAATAATTTCCTTAACAGTACCTCCTTTATGTTGTTGAGAAAGATAAATTGCACGTGCTTCCTATTCTTATCTGAAGAATCTTAAAGAGTCTAAGTTAAGGACAGATGCACGGAGGGCACAGCATGTTTAAGACTCAGGATTCTCGTTGATCACTACAATAACAGGTTCTTACTGAAAATACTTAGTCTGGGCTGTGTAATAATTTACTTTTTAGACATGAGAAATCCTAGTCAGAGAGTACGCAGTTCCTGTTTCTTGAATATAGCAAATAAATTTTAGAAAGAAATACTGGTTAACTTATTTTAAAACCAAAGGATGAAGTCAGAAAGTAGCATTCTTCCTTCACTGCATTTTACTGAATAAAAAGAATATGGTGTAATAAGATATGAGACAGTTAATGTAACTTAGTAGTGAATTAGAGATGAAGCAGGAATAGCAAATAAAGACCATTCTTTCAAAAATTTCAGCACCAAAGTAAGCACTAAAGCAAGATGTGATAGGAGATAGACAGCAAGAGGGTCTAGAATGATTTGGAAACTCAGCTGTGGGAAAGAATGGGGGCACTTGAGATAGAAGGGGGAGAGAGATAGTAGTGTCATTAATTTTGAGGTGCAGGAGAGGAATGACTTTCCTTTTCTCCCATGAGTTTGCAGGTGAGATCACGTACTAAAAGAAGCTGAAGATGGGGTGAAAGTATATTTTCCTACCTATGCCTTTTGCTCTTTTTGACTGACTGTAGAACCCAGAATCTTCTTCTGCCATCTTGGGCTGCAAAGTTCTCATTATTGTTCCGGGCCTCGTCAAATGGTATCTTCATATTCTTTACTTTTGTCAGGTGGTTCCTGAGCCCTACCAATTGAAATTAATCGCACACCGTACTCAGTAGGTTAGCTATATTGTATTGCTTTTTAGGCTTTTGTTTTGTAAAATGTTTTCAAATCTGTCTCTTCTATTAAAGTATTGGTTGTTGAGGCCTTGGCTAGTCTTTTCTTCATCTCTTCTCCTAACAGATCTTTGTGTATGTAGTTCCTTGTGCAAATTAGGAACTCAGTAAAGAATTTAGTTAAATAAGTTTATTGATTAAAGTACAAACACTATTATTATTTAATATAGCTGGCAATAATAAGCACTTGCTTAAATTCTGAGATTTTTTTGGTACAATTTTATTACCATTTTAAATGTTTTGCAAAATGGAATTACCTTCTGTAGGATAAAAAAAGTTATGCCAATAGTTTAGTTTGTCTTGGGTTTTCAGAAATGTCTTCTGTTTTAATATTCAGAGAAGTTAGTCAGATTGTGCTAACTGCTATTCTTGCTATCTGGTATTCTTTGAACTTCCAATTGTATATCTCATGTACTCTAGCCAACTAACAAATATTTGAATATTAACTGTGTACAAAAGGTTATGCTCAGTTTTGACATAGCATGGCTACTGGTCTCATACAGTTTGGGGAGACATTTTTCATTTTTCTAAAAAATGAAGTTATGAAATAAGTAACACATAGTAAATAATATCGGAAGTAATGCTACACTGATGTGATGTTGGCAAGAAGGTGAGGTCAGAGGAGAGTGGGAGACAGTGGTCTGGAATAACTCCGTGGAGACTTGATGTGAGTTGGATTTAGAGGATGGGCCAGGATTTGATTAACTAAAGATAGAAAGGTAAAGTGTGGCAGACAAAATTGATGGCATGAGGGAAGAACCCATGAAGGTAAACAAAGGGCAAGAAATGTTTGGAGAGAAGCCAACCAATTTGGAAAGAGAATTGATGGGTTACTGTGGAAGCCTTGACTCAGGTTGAATGGTTATTGTTGTGAAAAGGAGCTGGATCTCTAACAAAGAAGATTCTCCCCATCCCACTCCAAGACTTCCTACCATATTTAAAAGGGTTAGTTGCTGGGCTCGGTGGCTCAGCCTGTAATCCTGCGCCTTGGGAGTAAGTGGATTGCCTGAGCCTGCGGGTTCGAGACCTGCCTGGGCATCTTGGCGAGACCTCATCTCTACAATAAATCAAAAAATTAGCCGGGCTTGGTAGCGCACGCCTGTAGTTCCAGCTACTTGGAAGGCTGAGGCGGAAGGATCGCCGGAGCCCAGCAGGTCGAGGCTGCAGTGGCCGGGAGTGGCCACTGCACTCTAGTCTGGGCTACGGAGTGAGACTCCAACTCAAAAAAATAAAAAAATAAGTAAAAAATAAAAGGATTAGTTAATTGACTGGTGAGGAAATGTCAACACAGAAATAGAGAATTTTCATGAAATGAATTTTCATCAAACCTGCCGAATAGTGGCTATAGGATAGAGACGTATATATCTTTATAAATGCATATTTTATTCTTCATCAAAACTGTTAGGGAGCCAAATTTTTTTATTACTATCTTGCCAAGATAAATGTATAGTCACTGAAGATCATTTGAACAAGGCTTCCAAATGACAAAGTCTCTGTCGTCTGAAGATTAATCTCATATATGTGTTAAAGGAAGTTTGATTGGGATGGGAGGAAAGGATTGATTTATATAACAGTTAGCATTGAGAATGATGATTTTTGTGTAAAATATTTTAGTAGTTCTTGTGATTATTATACTCATTACTATATATTAATATTAGATCACATGGATTATCCAAGGGAATGGAAAAGGAATGAGAACTAAACATTAATTGAACAACTACTATATAACAGGCACTCTCTTGTACATACAACACCTCATTCCAGCT